AGTGGCTAGCAGCTAGCTAGATAGGGCAGGCAGGAGTACTGTCCAATAACAGTAGAGAGAGAGAGAAGTAAAGCCAGGAGTTTAGAGAAGGATATTGCATTCCAAAATGACTGTAAATGATTTATAATGTATCAGTAGGCGTCAGGCCCACTAGCCACTCAGGGAAAAGCAATCAGGACGTTCCTTAAGGTGCCGTTATCACTCTGAAGACACACACACACAAGCATGATTCACACACACACACGCACACACACACGCGCGCGTTCGCACAAACACACACACACACACTGTAGACACACATTGTACAGGATCAGTGAAAAGCCTAGTGGAGCAGTATATTTCTCCTCTCACATACATGGAGGTTCTCCTCTCACCACCTATAAATAATACAGCTTTATCTCTTCATGGAGGCTCTCCTCTTGCCACCTATCATTAATACAGTCTTATCTCTTCATGGAGGCTCTCCTCTTGCCACCTATCATTAATACAGTCTTATCTCTTCATGGAGGCTCTCCTCTTGCCACCTATCATTAATACAGTCTTATCTCTTCATGGAGGCTCTCCTCTTTCCACCTATCATTAATACAGCTTTATCTCTTCATGGAGGCTCTCCTCTCACCACCTATAAATAATATAGCCTTATCTCTTCATGGAGGCTCTCCTCTTGCCACATATCATTAATACAGCCTTATCTCTTCATGGAGGTACACAAAGCAAGGTCCATACAGAAATGGTTTGTTGAGGTCGGTGTGGAAGAACTTGACTGGCCTGCTCAAAGCTCTGACCTCAACCCCATCAAACACATTTGGGATGAATTGGAACGCCGACTGCGAGCCAGGCCTAATCGACCAACATCAGTGCCCGACCTCACTAATGCTCTTGTGGCAGTCCCCGCAGCTATGTTCCAACATCTAGTGGAAAGCCTTCCCAGAAGAGTGGATGCTGTTATAGCAGCAAAGGGGGACCAACTCCATGTTAATGCCCATGATTTTGGAATGAGATGTTCGACGAGTAGGTGTCCACATACTTTCGGTCATGTAGTGTATGTGGATGCGGTGGATTGAGATTCAGTCCATGCTAAGAAACAGATATCTTTAGCTTAAATTGACGTATTTTGATGGGGAAATTTGTATTATGTTACTTAGATAGACTCTCTTCTCCCCCTTCCTCACCCTGTTGAACACCCTACCCTACCACTCTCCCTCCCCCCTTCTCCCCCTCCTCACCCTGTTGAATACCCTACCTCTCCCCCAACTCACCCAATCCCCTCCTCCCCCCATCCTCACCCACTTCTCCTCACCCCCTCCTCTGTCCTGATTAATAGGACATTTTCAATTATTCTGGACCCATCCATCCCCATGTATCATCATTCCAATAGGACCCCACCACTAACCACTGACCACTAACCACTGACCACTGACCACTAACCATTGACCACTAACCACTAGCCACTAGCCACTAGCCAATAGTCACTAACCACTAACCACTGACCACTGACCACTGACCACTAACCACTGACCATTGACCACTGACCACTGCTCTCCTCCTTGTACAACGGGCAAATCTCTGCAATGCAATAAAAGACCAAAGCACAGAGCCAAATGTATTATTCTCCTCCTACTCCCTCCATCCCTTAGAGAGAGAGACAGAGAGAGCAAGAGACAGTGTGTGAAAGAGAGAGAGAGAGAGAGATGATTGAGAGAGAGAGAGAGATAGAGAGCATCGAGACTGAGAGAGAGATAGAGAGAGCCGTTTTATTTTTCGTTTTTTTCCCCAATTTTTTTGCTTTTTTTTAGCGGCCTTCTTTTTCCTCGCCTTCTTTTTACCCCCGCCCCCCGCCCTGCCTTTTTCTCTCCCAATCTTTCTTTCCGCTCCCCCTTCCTTCCCTCTCTTTCTCTCCCCCTCCGTTTTGGCGCCCAAAAAAACCTTTCCCCCGTGGGTTAGTTCCCCCCCGGTAAAGTTTTCCCCCTCCGGCCCCTTATGGGATAACCCAGTTCGGGCCAGCCCCATATTCCCCCGCCAGTCCAAACGACCAAGAGGGGGGCCCCCAAGGGGAACTCGCCCAAAAGGCATACAGACCTCCAACCGAATACCCCTCAGCCTTTAAGGTTTTTAAGGATTGGAAGGGACCCGGGGGGGGATTTGGGGGAATGGGAATAATTTCCCCCTTCCCCCTTATCCTTTCTAAAACTATATAAAATAAAAAAAGCATACCAAAAAAAACCAAACCCAATTTTTATTTATAAAAACCCAGATAAAGAGAGAGAGAGGACAGACAGACCAGACGAAGACGACAGACAGACAACAGACAGGACAGACAGACAGACAGAACAGACAGACAGACAGACAGACAGACAGACAGACAGACAGAACAAGAGAGATTGAGAGAGATATATAATCCAAACAGAGTTCAATCTGACCTGAGTAGATGTAAGTATGGGTTACACATGCTAAAGTTACAGGTGGGCCAAGCGTAAAGACTCATGATGGGAAGAGACTATAAAAGGCCCACAGAGACCCACTGTTATAGTACATTACATTCACATTTTCGTCATTTAGCAGACGCTCTTATCTAGAGCGACTTACAGTTAGTGAGTGCATACATTTTCATACTGGCCACCCGTGGGAAACCACAACCCTGGCGTTGCAAGCGCCATGCTCTACCAACTGAGCTACAGGGGACATTCAAACGGAACAGAGCAAACTATGAAAACTTAGAGGCTATTGTCATTAACAAACATTTAAGGAGAGGCAGTGCAGCGAGACAATTTACATAATATGTACATCAACTTTTCAATTTACATAAATTATGTACATCAACTTTTCAATTTACTTGACATCGTTGCCTTACCATTCATTGTGGCTGGCAACGTGACAATCTTGTTCTGCAGCTTCAAATGTACCGTAAATATCAGTATTACAGTAGCCACTAGCCAGTAAGCTTGCAAAGCGAAACTATTTAACAATGCAAGAACATTTTCCTCTAAAATATATTAGCTAGCGACTAGGGTTGGGGGGTATCCAGATTTTCATACCGTCATACCGTTTCTGTACAATACCGAGGTATACGGTATTACCGAATGTGCACACAAGGGGTGCTATTTCAAAAAACTAATTAGGCAGTGGGGATCTTGATCCAGGAGGGGATTGAATGTCTGTACTTGCTACACTCTTGAATAATGCAGACAATTAAAGGGTTTATTTTCTCGTACGTATGCGAATTATCTAAATGTAGCTTGCAAGACAATAACATTAGTATATCAAACATGAACGTTTACCCCTATATATATATATATATATATATATATATATATATATATATATATATATATACACTACCGGTCAAAAGTTACTCATTCAAGTTTTTTTTTTTTTTTTTTTTTAACTATTTTCTACATTGTAGAATAATAGTGAAGACATCAAAACTATGAAATAGCACATCATGTTGTAACCAAATACAGTGGGGAGAACAAGTATTTGATACACTGCCAATTTTGCAGGTTTTCCTACTTACAAAGCATGTAGAGGTCTGTAATTTATATCATAGGTACAATTCAACTGTGAGAGACGGAATCTAAAACAAAAATCCAGAAAATCACATTGTATGATTTTTAAGAAATTCATTTGCATTTTATTGCATGACATAAGTATTTGATACATCAGAAAAGCAGAACTGAATATTTGGTACAGAAACCTTTGTTTGCAATTACAGAGATCATGCGTTTCCTGTAGGTCTTGACCAGGTTTTTGGCCCACTCCTCCATACAGACCTTCTCCAGATCCTTCAGGTTTCGGGGCTGTCGCTGGGCAATACGGACTTTCAGCTCCCTCCAAAGATGTTCTATTGGGTTCAGGTCTGGAGACTGGCTAGGCCACTCCAGGATCTTGAGATGCTTCTTACGGAGCCACTCCTTAGTTGCCCTGGCTGTGTGTTTCGGGTCGTTGTCATGCTGGAAGACCCAGCCACGACCCATCTTCAATGCTCTTACTGAGGGAAGGAGGATGTTGGCCAAGATCTCGCAATACATGGCCCCATCCATCCTCCCCTCAATACGGTGCAGTTGTCCTGTCCCCTTTGCAGAAAAGCATCCCCAAAGAATGATGTTTCCACCTCCATGCTTCACGGTTGGGATGATGTTCTTGGGGTTGTACTCATCCTTCTTCTTCCTCCAAACAGGGCGAGTGGAGTTTAGACCAAAAAGCTATATTTTTGTCTCATCAGACCACATGACCTTCTCCCATTCCTCCTCTGGATCATCCAGATGGTCATTGGCAAACTTCAGACGGGCCTTGACATGCGCTGGCTTGAGCAGGGGGACCTTGCGTGCGCTGCAGGATTTTAATCCATGACGGCGTAGTGTGTTACTAATGGTTTTCTTTGAGACTGTGGTCCCAGCTCTCTTCAGGTCATTGACCAGTTCTGGGCTGATCCCTCACCTTCCTCATGATCATTGATGCCCCACTAGGTGAGATCTTGCATG